AAACTCGACTGCCACCGCTGCGAGTGGCAACGCGCGATGACTTCCGCTCGAAGGGCCGTACGTCTGCGGATTAACGCGTTAAAATAAAATTTACGTTGATAGCTTATTAATGGCGGACAGGACGCGAGACGAATGACGCCGGTGCTTTTAATATATTCGCGGTTGTAATCGACGTAGAGGATGCCGAGCGAGGAGGAAACTTCCAAGTTAATGACGCACGACCGCTTTGCAACTTTGAATCGTGGCGCCCGTAACGTCTACGGTTCTCTTCCTCTCTCCTGTTATCTCTTTAATGAGAAGCTCCTTTCCGCCGCGCCTTTCGCCCGTTTCGCCCGTTTTGAAGAAACAAGGCAGGCTGGACAGGGATAACAGGTCTCGTAATGAAGCGCGATTTCGGCACAGTCACCGTGTTAATCGAACGACCGTTTCTGGCCACCTGTGGTCCACCTAGCCGCTAGACAGTGTACGGCAGGTGGTCCCGATCGCAGCCACGCTATCGGATTATGCTTCTTGCGATCTCGAGATTCCCGCTTTCCACGAAACGAGCGCGCGAGGCCTCTGCTGAAAAATTTCATCTAAACCTCGAGCCTCGTTACCGGGCGGATGAAAAAGCGCGGAGGTATGTAGAAGCGAGCAACACATGGCCGGGGTCTAGAGAGACAAACTACGAGCGCGCACGAGATTCTGCGTTTAACGGCGTACAGAGGGAACGCGAAGGGGAGAGGATGCTGGCGAAATGTAAAGCGCTGCATAATCACGAAGAAAGGTGAGAAAATCCGCGAGACGAAGGCGTTGAAGGGCTGGGGCGGCTCGAGGGGTCGCGGAGGGGCGCGGAGGAAGAGAAGGATTGCGAAAGGACAGCCGAAGCGGCGAATTCGTGAACATCAAACGAATTAAATCTCCGCGGCGAGTCGACCGCAGAAACTAATATCTCGCCGAGCTCTCTCCCGTTTCTTCCGCTCTTCGAGGGCTTCCTCGCCGCTTCCTCGCCGCTTCCTCGCCGCTTCCTCGCCGCTTCTGCGTCGGTGTTTCAACCTCGACCACCGCCAGCCATCGTATTTCTGGATTCCGCTCCGCGAGATTCGGGCCCGCGCTGCAGACAAAGTGGACGACGACAAAATTATCGCGTCCACTTTTCTCGCTGGAAACTCGCCCCGCGCGCCGAAAAGGAAACGGTACCGCGGCGTCCGTAGTGGGGAAAATAGAAAAGGGGATTGGTACGGAGGGAAAACGACGACGACGACGACAAGAAGCAGCTCGTAAACCAAGGCGAAACGTTAATCTCTGCGATGGATGCGGAGCATTTTTGCGGCAGCTTCTCCTTAAACGGCCGTCAGATGATAAAGTAGCGCCGGGACGATGTAATTTTCGAGGTAAACGAGCTGGTACGAGCGTAATTAGCACTGACACTTGTAGCGGTCCGGCGTGTTAGATGCGTACAATTAGACAATTCTCTGAATTGTACGATAGGAGTACTAGGCGATAAAAAGTACTAGGAAAAAAGACGGCAAGAAGCAGGCTCGATCACCGGAGGCATTAAAACGGTGAATCTGCATGCTTTACGGCAACGTAATAACACTTTCGGTCAGCGCTAAACGCTCTCCTATCCGTGGTAATTAAGTCGTTTCCGGGCGTGGCTTAGAAAAGTGGTAGAACGTGTCCAACGTGGAAAAACAAGCGCGGTGCGAGCCGAGAAAAGCGAGGGATGCGCGAGTCCGCGCGTAAATAGCACCTTCCTCGAGGGAGCGGTTTTCGTCGGGGACAGACTTGCCCGGTTAATAGATATCTCCGCGGATAGGTGTCGATAGCGTCGCGGCGAAAGTTCGACAATGGCGGATCCCCCGATCGTGTGAGGCCCCGGCTGTCGACGAGGACGCCATTAACCGTTAACCTCGGTGCTCGTGGTCGAGGGATCGGAAAAATCGTGGCCACGTGGCGTCGTTGACTAGACGGCCGCGACGTTTCCGGGTTCTTAATTCCAATCTATTATCCACTGCCTCCGGCAATGGATAAACTCGAACGTTCCACGGTGATTCGCGTGCGAGCATTTTTCGCCCGACGACCCGTCCCCGGATGATTTATCCCGAGGCCAATTTTCCAGATATTAAATGGATTAGAAATCGTTTCGTTAAGATTCTCGATTTGCCCGTGGATTTATTACCGATTCATTACATCGCGTTAATAAATCAACGAGCCCGGCTACAGCCGCTGCTCCTACTTATTTACGGCGAGCGTTTTTCGAGCAAAGACCGAGGAGGGCAAGCGAGACAGCGGTAAGCCGAAGCGGAGACGCGAGGGCACCGCGATCGAGCGTTTAAAATCACGCGAAAGAATGACGGAAGGTTGCATCCTTGAGGCGAACGCGCACGAAGCAAGGCCGATCGTTCATCGGCGCGGTGGTTTTCAAGCTGGACTGTACAGTCGGGTTGCGCAGGTGTGACCGATGGCGGCGTTCTTTGATCCTGCAGGGACTCCACGGCTACCTTGTCCACGACTCATCGGCCGCCACTCTTTTTCGTCACTCGGTTCGATTATTTCCTAATGGCTAACGCCATCGCGAAAACGGCCGTCGCTAATTTCGCCACCGTTTCCCGCCGCGTTCGGCTTCCTGTGACCGGCTGAGGGATCGCCGAAATGGACGGAAAAAATTGCGAGCGTGTCGCCTGAAAACGAGCGCGCGATGAACTGTTCAAACGACTTTATCGTTTAGGAAAGTACAGGTCGGCTCGAAACGGCGATTTCCAACGATGATATCGCAGACTTGGAAATTGCTGCGTGATTCCACGAATTTTCGCGTAGACGCGCGTCTAGAAGACCGCGAGAACCGGTACCGGGGAAGGGGCCCAGTATACTCGCGTACACCGTCGATCACGAGGGAACGTTACACCGGTTAGCAAAAGGGAAGTCGAGCGTCGAATTTTGAAACTCGCTGTACAACGCTCGAACAATTATCGCATTAACCGTTTCGTGATTCCACGAGTTTTCTCGTAGACGCGCGTATCGAAGACCGCGAGAACTAGTACCGGGGTGTGGGCCCTGTGTACTCGGATACACCGTCGATGACGAAAGAAATATCACGACGAAACGTTACACCGGTTATTAAAAGGAAAGTCATCTGTTCGTGCTTCGAATTTTGAAACTCGCTGTACAACGTTAAAACAATTATCGTATTAACCGTTTCGTGATTCCACGAATTTTCTCGTAGACGCGCGTATCGAAGACCGCGAGAACTAGTACCGGGGTATGGGCCCTGTGTACTCGGGCACACCGTCGATGACGAAAGAAATATCACGACGAAACGTTACACCGGTTATTAAAAAGAAAGTTGCCTGTTCGAGCTTCGAATTTTGAAACTCCCTGTACAACGTTCGAACAATTATCGTATTAACCGTTTCGTGATTCCACGAATTTTCTCGTAGACGCGCGTACCGAAGATCGCGAGAACTAGTACCGAGGTATGGGCCTTATGTACTCGGATACACCGTCGACGGCGGACGAAATATGAACTGATATAGATGAGATACTCACGAATGGGATGAAACGTGATCTGTGACATACGAAGAATATTCAGCGACTGGTAATTAACAAAATTTACAACTCGCGAATTAATCGTGATAGAAGAATCTCGATATGATAGAAGATAGTCGCGGGCTCGCGGATTATTCCGTGCTTGGATGCAAATGGGTTAAGATGTATCTTATTTTTAACACACCTCGAGAAATCTCGAAGTATCCACGACTTCGAAGAGTCCATAAATACGCGCTGGAATAAGAATCTGTGGCAGCTTGCTCCTCTCTATTCTCCTTTCCACCTCTCCTTTCTAATATCGAAATTTCTTAATCTCCGAACGAGAGGGCCAACGGAGAAATGCAAAACGAATCGGACATCCTCGGGCGTGTTTGAGTGCCCGGGCCCTAGGACTCCCTCCGAGGAGCTGCTCCAGTCAGCTCTTCCACGGCCACAAATCAGATGCATTTTCGTGCGATGGTAGGGATCTCTCCATAAAAATCGTATTACCTATTCGTCACGGTGTTCAGACGACGGAATTCCAGCGCAGCTTCTCGCCCACCGGATGTTGAAATTTTCGTGGCTCTCGGTGGAGGGTACGCGATCCGAAACGAAACGGTTAATACGATAATTGTTCGAGCGTTGTACAGCGAGTTTCAAAATTCGACGCTTGACCGCATCACTTCTCTTTTGATAACCGGTGTGTCAGAGGAATCTTTACTTGCATGGCGTCACCCTGCATCGAGATTTAGAACCATCGTCCAGCTTATCAATTCTCGAAGCAGGGTTGAGTGACGCAATGGGTTGTCATAGAGCCTATAAAAGCCTAGCTGAAGGGTTCGACACACACACTTTTCGACTGTACCGTCTGCATCATAGAAGACTTCGAGCCTCCGTATATTTTATACCGCCAAGAAATGTAAAATATAATGAAAATGAATGAAAAGTCCCTTTTGATTTGTTAATCCGATCTTTACCACGAAAGATAGTGACTTGTTTTTAGGGCGACTTGGTTTTCATTTCAAAATGGTTTCCGATTTTACCCGAACGCGTCGAGAGAGAAGGCGAGCCATGGATACCCGTTCCCCGCGATCCAAGGATCGTTAAACGTTCTTGACTTTTTCTCGGCGAGAGATTTTTTCGCCGAACGACGACACGGTCGTTATCCACGTCCGTTACTAACGATAGATACGACATAGAAATCGTTAACATCCTATTCGATGGGAATCGTGGACGGAGAAGTCACGCATGCCTCGAATCGATTGGTTCTACCTTATTTCCCCGCGCACACGTTTCCGTAATCGCGTTTCTTTGACTGGAACCGCGGACACGAGAAACGTGGGAACGACCACGTGACGCGTAATCAGCGGCCGCTGACGTCGCGGCTGCGATTCCGATCGGCACGGATCGATTCTATTAGCCTGATAATCACGTGCAACTCCTTTCCATCAGCGATCCGATCTAACCCGTGTCAAACGGTCTCTCTGTTGCAGAGCAAGCGAACCACCTGAACCTGTTCAACAACCGACAACAGCCGAAGAAGAAGCGCAAGAGTCGAACGGCGTTCACGAATCAGCAGATCTTCGAGCTGGAGAAGCGGTTCCTGTACCAGAAGTACTTGAGCCCGGCAGACAGGGACGAGATCGCGGCGCAGCTAGGCCTGAGCAACGCTCAGGTGATCACGTGGTTCCAGAACAGGCGGGCGAAGCTGAAGAGGGACATGGAGGAGCTGAAGAAGGACGTGCAGACGGTGAACCCGTTGCTGGTGGCGCAGCATCACAAGACTTTCCTGGAGAACGTCCAGGACCTCGGGATCCTGAAGAAGCGACCTCTGCCTAGCAGCATGGACGAAAAGTCGTAGGGAACGAGGCGCCTCGATGCTCGTCGTTGAGGAAAAACCGTGATTTCTTGGAACTAGACGCTCGCGAGAGAGCTGCTCGTTGGATAATCCAACTAGAGAGAGAGAGAGAGAGAGAGAGGGTGTGTGTGTGTGAGAGAAAGATGGTTGATTGATCGTTGTAAACGTTCTCGCGACGCGATCCTTTGGCAGGCTGCGCATAGGCGGAGTCTGGCCTCTGCTTTTCTACGTGGATCGACTCGGTAGGGTTACGAGTAGGATTTTCGTAGTTTCGTATTCCGTAGCACTTAGTGAGCGAGTACGGGGTGAAATCAGGATATCGGATCGATCGTGATCGTTGCAATAGCGTCCGTGACACGGAGTGGACGAAAGGCATAGTACAAAGAGAGAGTCTTCTTCGAGAACGTGTCGCGGAGAACGGAGGACTGTCCACGGGGCGAGAGGAAGTGGTGTTTGCTCGAGATTACGCGTTCTTGGTCCCTGTCGGTGCTCCGTCACGTGTCTTCGTCGAGAAGGCGTACAAAGACTGAGAGAGTCCGCAAAAGTCTGACCAGGCGGTGAACGCGGTTGGTGAGCCGGTCGAAAATGATGCGCTGGCGAGGTGTGGACATTGAACGGATCATCCTTTCGAGGCAACGACGCATCGATCACTGTAATATGTAAATTAAAGACTGCCAAATATTCACAGCTGGCCTCGTCGGGAGCCCCGATCCCGTTGCGCGATGTTTTCGTCGCTGGTCAGAGAGTCGCGATCGACGGATGACCGATCGCGAGGCGACCTTAGGGAACGCTGGAATTCCACGAGAGAAACGTGAATTCGACGTTTCGCGTTTGCATTAACGAACACGCCTAGGGACGAACGCCGATCTCTAGGACCTTATCGTGGCCGTTCCGCGGACACCTGTATCATATTGTATTTATTTCGCGAAGAGACGGGAGAAGGAAATCGTGGTGAACGAAAAGCCAAAAGTTGCGTTTGCATTAACGAACACGCCTAGGGACGAACGCCGATCTCTAGGACCTTATCGTGGCCGTTTCGCGGACACCTGTATCATATTGTATTTATTTCGCGAAGAGACGAGAGAAGGAAATCGTGGTGAACGAAAAGCCAAAAGTGATCCGGAGGGAAATCATCGGCGATATGTGTAAGTTATTAAGTACATATTATAGCGTATAAATTATAAAAGTGCTTCGCACGTCGCGAGGCCCTCGTCGTTGTACATAAGCTATATATGTATATATATATACACGCGTATATATACATATATGTATATATATACGCGTCGTTCATCCCCCCAGCCCCTGGATAATATTACGCATAAACGAGATAGTCGTGGAGTACGATTAGAATAAACGGAAAGGGAGGCAAACGGAGAAAAAAATAAATAAATAGATAAATAAAGGAAAAGAGACTTAAATAGATGGGACACTGCAATATACCTGGTCATCAGTTTAATTAGTGAGCTTTATGATCGCGTAAGATGTAAATCCGTATCGCGCTTGATGGTTTACGAGGTGATAGACGCGTGAAAGGGAAGCCGAGAGAGTGCGTGTGTGTGAACGGAACTTTAGTAGCGTGTATAGTGAGTCGAAATAAATGGAGACATTTAAAATAAACGCGAGGAATAATTGTGCCCTGTTCCTGCTCCCATCGATCTCCCCTAAACCGATCCGCTCGCGCTCTCAATGGGGCAAAAGAAAGGGTAAGTCTTGCAAAACGAAACGGACTATTACGTCCGCGATTTATTTCAATTCGCTCGCCGCGTTGCGCATATGGGAAAGAAATTGCGCCCAAGACGCGAGAGGATAACGAGAATTATCCGTCTAGGAAGCTCGCGGCAGCGCTTCGAACAGGGGGCGCGCGAGCACGAGGAGGAATTATTGACCGGAAATAGCGCGATACGCGCGGCCCTTCCGGGAATCTTTTTGAACGCGTTTTCCACGCGTTTGCATAGCTCGGTCGAAGCCATAATTTATCAGGACGACGTGATTTCGCGGCCCGAATTCGTTCGCTTTAGCACCGAAGTCTGGTACTTGTCATGACCCCGGCAACCGTCGTTTACGCAACGAAATTCCGTGCCGAGATACCCAATAGGATCGTAACCTTTCTATCTCGAGGATTCTCCATCCAGAAACGTAAAATTTCTCGATATAATTCGACACGATCGCTCGAAAGCCTAGACTCTGTCAAGTTTTGACACGCTGCGCGGTGTTAATGGCGTCTCGCGCGTCTTTGCTGGCTCGTAAATGGAAAAGCTAATCAGACATTGGCAACGGCTTTCCGTCTGTCTTCCTCTTCACACCCCAGTCACCCCGACTGTCCGCCAAAACGGCAGAGATACACGGGAAGATACCCGTGCGCGCGTATTACCGACCTACTTCCTGTTAGCGGAATATCTGATGCTAAACGGAACCATTTTATATCGAGTCTCGTTAATGAGCCCGTCATTAGCCTGTCGTCGTTATCTCGATATAAAACACGCGTCGTTACCGCCGTCGTTGATCGATTAATCGAGGCTGAATCTAGGATGTCTATTAGAGGTGTGATTACCCGCGATGAGCATATACACGCTGATTACACGTTTCACGGCTGAACTCGTGTGCAACGGCGATACCGCAACGAGACGTTCTCCACGCGAGATAGACTTTCGCGATGCGGTTACGTAAAACGTGGCAAAAACTGGGAAAGGGAAAAGAACGAAGGAAAGGAGAGGAAATGGAGGAAGAAGAGGCGAAAGAAACCGGCCGTTGCTTTCTACCTCGAACCGTTCCAGGTACTAGGAAAAGCGCGCGCGATTCGAATATCCGAATGGCAGGTTCGTCGAGCATCGGTCGAACGGATGAAAGGGAATATTGGATTAAGAACGGTGTTCGGATTCGAGACGAATGCCGGGACTGGTTTGATTGGAACGTCGGTTCGTAGCCGTCGCTGGCATCGACGAGTCCATGTATGAAGCAGTAAGCAAGGTAGCCCACACCGCCCTGTAATTCAGGCGCCGCAACATCCAAATAAAGAATTCATAATGGCGATGATGACCACCGCCAATTTTCTCGATATAGCCGATACACCAATAACTCAACCGATATCCAACCGGTACATCAGCGTAATTTCGCTTATTGTCCTCGAGTTCGGCCGAAACGAGAATGACATCGCTGGGAAATAAACGAACCGGCAGAACCGGCATTACCGATACACGCGTTATCGAACCGAGCACGGTAAGAAGAGCAAACAATCCTTCGGGGGTAATTAATCGTGTCACGCGACCACCCCCGATTATTTGCTCGGTCCTGAAATTACGAATAGCCTGGACTCGCGTGCTTCGCTGCCGATCTCCCGACGATCTTCGTTTTTTCCCTCGACCTTCGTTTATCTGATTTATTCACGCTGCCAGCCACGAGCTGCCGCGATGCAAATTGGTCCTGGAGAAAGAAAGCCAGATAGCCTCCCTGCAGGCTTTTTGTCAAAGCGTGTGATCCTAGGTCGCAACGATGTAATCAAAGCGGAGAAGTCGATCGATTCCGCAAGATCATCCGATCGTGCCTGTCCAAGGCTCCCGATTCCTGTTTTCTCTTCCTCTATCTTGTCTATTCGTGTAAAGAGTCGATATAAATATTTCCAATTATCCTGCCGTAATCGATAACGTTATAATCCCGAGAGCGAGTTCGCGGCGACTAAAGAGTCTCGGCTGGAGGAACTGCGAAATCGGCGATTGGCCGAAAGCTGATCGCTGTTTTGCATAATCCCCGCTGCAAAGGGAATTCCTTCAGCACGGCCTGGCCAGAAGATCATTTCTCCGGCATTGACACGCCCACGTAATTCGGACTCATTTACTCGTTGACTCGCTTAACCCGCAGCCAGTCATGCGTCAGTCAGCCGCGGCCCCGCGCGCGGCAGATCCATAATTTCGACGCGATCCGCTTCAGCACGCGAGAAACGAGTTTCCCTTGGTCCACGATGTAATTAGACAGCGTGAATCTAGGCTGGACCCATCAACGGGCCTCGTTAATACGATATCCGCCGGATGGTCGCTCGTTGCGCGCCCAAATCCTTCCTTCCTCCTCCAACCACCTTCTTCTTTTTTCACCCTCTTCTTCTTCTTCTTCTTCTCCTCCTCCTCCTCCTTCTCCTTCTTCTCTTCCCTTCAGCCACCATCGCTCGTTGTCGTTTTCTCGGCCCTTCTTTTTTCCAGCCGTTTTTTAGATTCCTCGTAGACCGACTGCTCTTTGCTCGTGAGGGAACCCTCCCTACCTGCCGGGGTCTTTGATCTTCCTCCTCGCCAACGAGTTTCATTTACACGGGAGGTGGACTTCTTTTCTGGGCGAAACTAGCTTCGCGCTAACGAGAACTCGCGAACTCCGATTCGGTGGCCCCTGCTCGACCTATGGCTCCTCCATGGACGCGCCATAGGGACTCGATCCCCCGACGCGACAGCAGCTCCATCTACGAGGAGCTCGGCACCCCTCTTTCCAATATTTCAAAGTTGGCGACACTTTTCTCCAATTATACTTTTCTATAACTAAGGTAAGAGAAAATCGGGGATATCGGAGTAGAATAAAATCAGTATTTACCGAACAAGTTGACAGCGTTCAGGGACACCGAGCTGTCGCTACGTTTGACAACCAGTTGATCGAACGGCTAATTCTTCCCTCTGTCACGAGATCCCGCGAAAGAGGGTGGCAGAGGACGAAGAGAGAGAGAGATCGGGGTCCAGTCGCGGACTCGAAGCTAGGTATAGACGTAACAGGGACGCTGGTTCGTCGTCGTCGGCGCGAATGGGACAGCTGATGAGCCGGTGTCCCCGAGGGCGATCGGCCGAGACCAATCAGCGTCCGTCCGTCCGTCCTCGCCCTAATGACACCTGCAGGCTAAAAAGCCATGATATTCAACAGTCCGGACGCTAACGAACTCTCGGTACCTTCGCACTAATACCTCGAAACGCGGATGGAACCGTCGGTGACGCGGGGGATTGGCACTATGCTGGTATCTACTCTTCCTTGGTCGG